GAGCTTGGCTTCAAACGACTACGACTGCATTTGTACCTGTACTGACCGTTCTACTTTTCTACTTCTACTTCTACTTCTACTGCTACTGCTGCTGCTGCTGCTGCTACTACTACTACTACTACTACTGATACTGCTACCACTATGCCAGAAACGGGTGCTGAGATATGTTGGTTGTCATGGTCTAGAGCATTTTCAGGGTTTATGGAGGACCTTTTGGCTTTCTGATTTAAGGATTTGTTCATTTTTGAGCTTAAGGTTTTTGGGGTTTAAGATTTTTTCAGGTCTTTGGTTCTTGGGGTTTAGGGTTTCAAGGTTTTTCAGGGTTTCAGGGATTGAGGTTTAGGGTTTAGGGTTTACCTGATTCAGTTTTTCGTGTTTCGGGTTTAGGGTCTAGGGTTTTCAGGGATGAGGGTTTTCAGGGTTCAGGGCTTTCATGGTTTAGGGTGTTGGGTTAAGGGCTTAGGGTTTAAGGTTCAAGGCTTCGGGTTTAGGGTTTTGAATTTAAGACTTGAAGGGCTTTTAGGGCTTTCAGGGGTCTTTAGGGTTTGGGGTTTTATAGTTGAGCGTTTACAGGGTTCGGTGTTTTGAGGGTTTAGTTTTGTCCAGGGTTTAGGGCTTTCTTTTAAGCTCTAGTGCATCTAGGGTTTAAGGTTTTTAGGGTTCAGTTTTTTTAAGCCAAAGGTTTAGGGTTTTTGAATTGAAGGTTTAGCTTTTTGGCGGTTTAGGTTTTCTAGGCTCGTGCAAGGAGTCTGCGGACAATCCATCCGAGATGCGCGCAAAGATTCTTACAGAAGACTAGGGAGATGTATTGGGGGAAAGTGCTCTCACGTCATAGCCTTAAAGAACCCACCGTCAGATAAAGTATGAACCTGGGGCCTTGTTTCGCACAGCTCCTATAGAGCAATCTGGATAGCCTGTGATACTTTAAATCAAGCTTCGCGCATAGTGCTTTCAATGTATCCTTGGAAAACCCGCAGCTGCGATCCCAAAGGAGGACGACAGAGTTTGAGTTCCTGATACTCAGTTTCTTGCACCCAAGCAGATGGCATATTGTTTAGGGGTTTGATGGTTGGGGTTTAAGGTGCCACTAGTCCTACGCGGAAAGGTCATCTTCCTACGTTTTCAGTCAATTCGGCTTCCCCCGGCAGTTTGGGGCGAACTTTGAATTAATGCCCGGAAAGCATAGGGACGAATTTTGCTTGTGCCACTGCTTAAACTCATATCCACCATTATCAATGAGACTACCATCGCCACTTCACCACTATTAATACTACTACTACAACTGCTACTGCTACTGCTACTACTATTCCTGCTGCTGCTTCTTTTTCTGCTACTACTGCTACTGCTGCTGCTACATCTGCTACTGCTGCTACTGCTACTGCTACTACTATTGCTCCTGCTATTGCTAATGCTGCTGCTACTACTCCCGGTTGTAGCCCTAGTAACAGTACCGTTTTGCTTTACTATCGGTTGCAGCTGCCGAAACAGCTGTGGTGGCGGTGGTACTCAGGATGTTTGGAGTAGTAATAGCTGTCATCGTGGTGCTAGTAGTAACAGCAGTATGCTATACCATAATATAGTACGTTGCTGGCATTCCGTAGTACGAGTGTTCGTGGTGACTACCGACAAGCTTCAGAGAATTTAATAGATGTGATTGAAATTGCCATGTAGAAGCTATCCAAGCACGCCTACTGCGAGACAGGCACTGGCTGCCTTGGCACGTGCCCACCAGTGGACATGGACCCTGCACTTGCTTGAGAAGATGAAAAATCAAGGACTGGTCTCCGCACAATCCTGCAGACATTTCGTGTAGAGAATGACTGCGTTGCGCCAGGAGTTCAGGCCCCTTTTTCCAATCTGCATGATTGGAAGATATTGGAGGATTTTGCATTCTTGACAAGCAGGGCCGCGGCTGATGTACATGTGAGGATTGTCATCATTTGCTCACTCGTTGCAATTGTACTTCCTTCCGGCAATCGAAGGCCGACGTGGTCAGCATGAATAGTTCTGCCTTTGCCTGTGCATTGGCTGCACAATGGACGATGGCCATGGTGCTCTTGGCTGGGACAGCTTCGCCCACTGCACCTGGTCATCCACACTTGCTGTGTCGTCCATGAGCTGTTTTTCTGATGACAGAATCTCTTGAGATGTTCTGCTGTCCGTGCATAGCTGCAGCTCAGACTTGGCATCTGCTGTGGCTCGACGATTCTTTTTCGTTCTGTCTGATCGCGTGACTACTATGGAGAAGATTTGATGGTGATTGAGGCAATCAGCTACAACACTGCTGCTTTGGCTTGCAAGGCCTGCGATTGAATTGTGCATGCGGCACTCCTAGTGTTTTTGTTAAGATGAGCTTTGCACAGGAAGCAACCCAGTGGCAGCATTGCCTCTCCCTGTATGCGGTGATGGAAGAAAGCCGGGTGAATCGAGATGCTGCAAGTGACCCTCGGAGTTTTGAAAGAGCTACAACATAGGAGACTGCTGTAAGCCAACGTCAGCCAGTGTTGAGCAGAGGGCTGTGGGTGTTATGCTACACTCAGGACAGCACTGCAGTCAGCGCCCTTTCCAAAGCGGCTAGGCAGGCTCTTTGCTTTTGGCATGAAGCTGTATCATTTCGCGTGGCCTTAGCTGACAGGTGGGAGGAGGCTTCCTGCTTTGCGGCGCGATTGCCATTCCCTTCGCCTATCGTGTACGGAGCAGCTATTGCTGCCTGCACGAAGATCTTCCAGTGGAGGCCATGGTAAAGCTTGGGATGATGCTTGAACGGCCAGAGAGGTCCTGCTAGGCTCAGGCTAGAAACTAGGGCAACTTCTCCTTTTGAACACACGACTCACGGAGAGGCTTAGAGATTCTGAGCGTTGGTAGAGGTTGATGGCGTTTGATGATGTCGGTCTAGTCTCAGATGCTTGCTGTGTACTTCTTTATGGATTCGGCAGCTGGAAGCCGACACTTTGATTGTGACCGCAGCGGGGATACCGGCAGCCCTTTTGCCCGACTCGCCCCCTGGGCCACTGACGTCACGCCCCCCACTTTCTCACTTGCAAGCGGGGCGAGGCGAGTTGAGCAAGTGTGGCCGGGGGGGCAGGGCAAGTGGGGCGCAGCCCTAGCATCCTCTCAATGCCGACACTCTCCACACTTTTGCATGTTCTGCTGTTGTTTGATGCACGCTGGGATTCGGCAGGAACCTGGTGCCCAACGTGCATGTAAGGTTGTGTGTTTCGGTCGAGGTCATGGCCCATGCATGGTCCCTGATACATACTATGATAGATGACACTCATGTTCCGTAAGATACCTGCCTAGGCCACTGTAGACAGACCAGAGAAACACTTGTGAAACCTTCATTTGTGCAGATGATCTGTGTAGCCACTGGTACCTGCTACATCCTTCTATAACGAGACATACGAATGCAGGGCCGCGCTGGCCTTGCGCACGGACTTGATAGCTGGGCTGGGCTTCAATCACTCGCACCTGCCGGCGCACAATGCCGTGGTGTCCGCATGCGAGAAGGCCGTGACTCACAGAGAGCTCCGCAAAATTTGCGTGCTCTCTCCTGCGGTTCGTCCATGTTTCTCGGCCCGTTTCTCAGTTCATTCTGCGTCAGGTGCATCTTTGGGAGATGGCGTTGTGTTTGTTTGCTGACATGAAGCGTGGACATCTTCAGCCATCCGCTGTGACTTACAATGCCATACTAAGCGCCTGTTTCTTGGATGCAGTGTAGAAACACTTGGCTCTGCAGCAGCTTTCTGCTTAGACAGTTAGCAGTTAGATACAATTAGGCATTTTTAGCTCAGGCGGCGTGACGAGTTGTTGGGAGCACTCTGTGGCTCTTGCAAGCGAGATGCAAAGAGCACAGGTTGCCCTCGATGTTGTCAGCTATACTGCATTGGTGACAGCGGGACGGGCCATGGGCTCTACATGCATGGTGGGATTGCTTGCGCAGATGAAGGCAAAACAGGTGCAGCCGCAGACATTGACTTTCAATGCTGCCCTTCATGCCTGTCAGTCATCCCTCAGCTGGGCTGCGGCTGTACAGATCTTCCTGGATTCCCGTGGTAGCAGAGTAAGGATGGACGCTCTCTCGTGCGTGGCTCTCCTGGACTCGCTTGCCTGGTCTGGCAGTTTTGGAAGACTTCAGGAGCTGCTCCCGGCAATTCAGCGCGAGAATCTGAGGCTCCGGGGACGGAAGTCAGCTTGCTTGATTCATCATGGAAGCTTCGAGGCTCTGCGTAGTTTACCCGGACAATGGATGCCAAACCGAAGGGTACAGTATTGGCCATGCAAGAACCGTCGTGCCATAGGGAGACTTCGGGAGTAGGTTGTTGGACTTTTTGCCAGGTTTCCAGCCGCTTGATCTGGAGAGCTGAGGCAGTAGTGTCCATTTTTCGCACCACTGGCACGTAGGAGGCGGTCCGCAGCAGAAGGCAGAAGAGATAGCAGCTCCTTTCAGGCTGGTGAGGAAAACCGGATAGCTGTTACTCTCACCGGTGTCAAGCTACGGGTCCTCCAGTGCAAATGAAACAGACCAGTATGCACGGACGTAGGGAAAGCCAATTCGCGATTAACTGGTCACCACCCGAAACCAAGGTGGTAAGCAAGTTGTTCTAACTCTAGACTTTGGCAGGCTGAGCCGTGCATCAGACCGAATCTAGATGCCGTAAAGGACTGCTCATACAACGCATAACAACGAAAGGTCTGATGGTTTTGACGGTTTGTACTGCTATGCTAGGCTGGATGATGAATACTCATGACGTGAGGTGCGTTCTACATGAACCACGAGCAGCTGAACTGAAACTCCTCGCGGGCAGCATGCAGCCCAACTTGCTAGCGCTTGCAGCGTATTCAGCAAACCTGTCCCTGAACGTCTTCAAGGGGCAAAGTTGGGCTGACTGGGGACTTGTGTTTGCACTGCTCCGTCGCACTTCGCTGGGGAGTCCGCAGGGGGCAGCTGTGGCGTTGGTGTTGGAGCAGCTTCGAAGCCCCCGAGACTCGGGGTACCATGACGTCATGCCAGATCGGCTCCTGGACGAGGCATTGTCGCACCCGTTCGGGCTTGGTCCTACATTGGCCAATCTTGTGCTTGAGGCGGGAAGTTAACACTCGGCAATCAAGTGGGTTACAAGGATGGACATTGAGAGTGGACAATGTTGCGACGAGCAAGACAGGTTGGTTTGGCTTAGCAGAGCAATCAAAGACCAGAAGGATACCAACGGAACTCAGAGCTTTTAATTCAACATGCTTGTGCCAAAGAAGCAGGTCAAGAGAATTAAGACCTAGAAGAATATTAAGAAGAACATGGGGAAACTTGACCTGTCCAGGCGCTTGGCTTGTTGGCATCTCCTCGCGAAGCTGACTGTGGGCTTCCGCTGCGACGTGCAACAAGTAGGTGCGGTATGCTGCTGCCAAGTCGAGCTTTCCAGACGTGCTTGTCACTTACTGCAGCTTGCAAGAGTCGCTGTGAGGTCCATTTTTGGGGCTGACCCCGCAGCTCGACATTTGTTGGCCAAGCTGGACGTGTCACTGGAGCTCCCGTACCTGTGTTCAAATCAAGCTATGCGAAGCTTCCTTAAGTAGCTGGCGGCAAGCAGTCATACTGAATCTCTGCATTTCTAAGGTACACATCCTTGCGAGACAAGCTTGTGACCGGCTATGCAGGAATTATTGTGCATGAGGTGTGAGAATACAAGGGTCGTTGTGAGGCGACCAGCTAGCAACCAGGGCAAACACCGTGTTTTTCAGTGGCTGTTACAAGATGACGAGTGGGGGAAGCTGTTACTGTGCTTGTTTGCCGTTTGGGACAACTTCTGACACCGGAGCCACGGAGCAGCTGCTGTTTGACCTGCTGCGGCTGCAACAGTCACTGCCACTTGTTGCGGGATGTCAATAAGTGCAGCAAGTTGTGACAGCCACCTCTGAAAGCAGTCTCACTTCGTCACCTCGCGCTCTTAGCCCCTGGCAGCTGCAAGCTCTTGCTGAAAGAGAGACGGTAGAGACAGCTTCGGCTTCGTGAAGCACCTCCCGATGCTGGCACTCTTGCATGAGATGCAGGTTGGTTGTGGCAGCAGATTCGACCATCAGCGCTGAAGAAACTGATTGTGGGATGTTTCTAATTTCCCAATCAAAGCGCGGTCCAAAGGACGTCTGTTGCTTTTGGCAGTGGCATTCTTGCCAGGTCAGATACTTAGTGCCAGGTTCAAACACTATCAGCAGAAGTTTCCTTCGCGTGGTGGTAGATCAGCGCAAAACTAACACAAACGAACCTACAGGGGCACAAAAACTTGAGCGGTTTCGCACCATGTCAGCCTTGTCGTGCAGTGCGAGTTCCTGCGCTCGCCAGCAGGATCGCTGTGTTGGTGAGGATGCAGCTGCAAAGAAGGGACAGGCCAGATGGTGATTGCTGCTGCCCACAGTGTACTTTGCGAGCAGAACAGAGCGTCCGTCATGTCTCAACATGTAGATCTTCCCTTCTGTCACACATCTAGCATGGACGAGCACAGCCTTCTTTGTGTGTCAGTCACGACTGCGGAGGATGGACTTGCAGAGGAATTCAGTGAAGATCTGCTGCCTTTTCTTCGCCTTCTTGTGGACGATGCCAGGAGCTCGGCCAGTGGCTAGCATCATGCATGAAGTGCAATATCATTGAATCTCAACTTCTTAACTTGGTTTCTGTAATAAGGGGCTTCACAGGTTCAAGTTTCCGTGTTTGAGCTGTTTGCGACTAGGTTCGGGCTGCATTTACCTGAAGAAACACCGCATTGAAGCCCTCTTTAGCCTCGTCAAGCCCTGTGGCGGGCTGGTCTAGTCAGGGGCTGATGTAAAGCGAGTACTAGTTCCGCTTAGTCAAGGATTTCATCAGCCTTGCCTGGCCCGATGAGAACCAGCTTACCATCCACGATGCATCATTGGCGCTTGGAACAGTTTACAATGTTGGAGCTTCTACCCTCAGGTGCCGCAGATGGTGAAGCGCATGACAGAGAACAGCCAGGACAGCATGCAACATACGTTGGAAGACTCATTCACACCGATTGCTGAGGCTTTCTTGTCTGGATGGTGATTACAAGCCATCAAGCGGTATGTCTGGCCTTGTCAGACGCTCTTGGAGAAAATCAACCTGGAGCGCGCTGACCGCCTCGCCTGCGAGGCCATTCTGAAGAGTTTTGTGTCGAAGGTAGGTTGCCGTCGCCCTTGGCTTGCTTGGACTATCTTGGACATCTGCTTCTTAGCAAGCCTTTCTGCAGTGGGACATGTCGGTAGCTACAGTTCCCTGAGGCATCTTCTTTCGCATCATTTGTTACCCGTACAAAGAAGTTGTAGTCCAGTCCTTCAGCTGGAGAGTGCACAATTTGCATACATCGGTTGCATCCCCTCACAGGCGCAGATTGGTGAAGCACTGAAGCAGTTGGACGAGCGGGTCAGGGACTTTGTGCTTTCGGGGCTACTGGCTTACCCGGATGTAACTTCTGAGCTGGAGCGAGCTATCTATGTGCAAGTATTGGGTACATGCTCACACTATGAGGTGTTGTTACACTTGTGCTGCCAGTGGATCACGTTCCCTGTCTAAATGCCGGCGCAGGTGGCGCTGCTGACGGATGTAGTGGACATTGATCCCCCAAAGGCGATCCCAGGCAAGGCGACCCCTATCAACAAGCATCGGCTGACATGCAGAACCAGTAGAATTTCAAAAAGTATTCAACAGATCTTCGGTTTTTGAAGATGGCAAACAGCCGGAGAATCGGAACAAGAGCCGGGACGAATGGCCAAGAAACCCATGCCGCCTTGCCCCAGAGACCCACCAGCAGCGAGTGCAACATCATTCTTGCTGCTCTTGCTGCTCTCTCACTAACCTATACAGGATGGTCTAGCAATGTCTATCAGTGAGAGGCGCAACAGCCATGAGCTCGAACTCAACATAGCGATGAAGTCGACATGGATTGGTGGATTGGGATATGGCTGGATAGGCTACACCAGCTAAGGAAAGGGGACAAAGACACCACATCTCCTCATGCTCCGCATGTTCTGTTTTTGCATGTGCCAACTGCAAAGGTCGATTCGTTCACGTCCAGACCGCCGTCAGGCCCCACTTTGCTTCACAATGTTCAGAATGGCACAGCCCTCGGTCTTCGGCTTGCTATCCGTTTCCACCCGGAAGACAAGGACAAGGGACGTTTTCCTCGGTTGAATAATGCTGATGGCGCGCAGCCGTTGTCTTCATGTGCATGCTCCGCTTTCTTCTGATTTGCAAAGTGCAGCTATTTGCCTTGCAAATGCAGGGGCTGGACCCCACAGGCGATCAATCAATCGATCAATCCTTGGTTTGAAACAGCGTACACTTCCAGGTGTGATTTTCGATGACAAGGGAAGGATTGCGACGGCGCTTGCATCCAGGCCTGCGTGGCTTTTCCAAAGGTTTGGGATGCGAAGCTCAGCTATGAGACTCAAACACCCCGAGGCCCGTCGCGGTCCAGCGCTGTGCCTCTGCGCCTCTGGGACTGGCGGTGGGGTGCCGAGGTTACGGAGGGGCTATCTCTGGCTCCTTTGCTGTTGAAATCTGCCGAGGTGGCCGGGAAAGCTCCCTGCCTGTCTGTGACGACCCCTGGCTTGGGACCTGGTCCCTTCAAGAACTCCTTTGACAAATTTCTTTGCCTAGGCTTGCCACATGGCGGAGGGAGCAAGGAAAAGCCAGGGTCTGTGGAAAATCTCTCCTCGCATGCGATTGAAGACTTTACGAGTGCTGCTTGTAATCCATGGTTTTGCAACCGGATCTGCCAAGGCCCGAGCGCTTGACTCCCAGGGATGCAGCTGCAAAGGTGGGCGGCGCTATCAAAGCATTCTTTTTTTCCTGCTTGCAGCCTCCTTCCAGCACTGTTCCAGACGATTTGACAGACTTCCAAAGGGGAGATGCTTCGCTGATTTGTTACTGCCAGGCAGTGAACTGAGCCTTCGGGTTACGTAGTGCTTTCCTCTCTTACAAAACTTGTTGCGCGGCTCCAACTGTTGTGGCCCGCTGGGTTTGCATTGTCATGAATTGGGCGTTGTGTGCATGGATCTAGTGTCCTCAATCTTGAACTTTATGCTGACCGTGGCTTTGCAGACCAAATTACAAGGCATGCCTAGGTTTGTCAAGACCAGCCAGCTGGCAGAGTGGTGGTTGGTCAGTCTACCATAAACTGAAGCGGGCGAAGCAGGCCCCATCTAGTGTGTACAAAGTTAAACGTTGTTTGGAAAGACTGAAGATTGGGACCGGGCAGCACAAAACAGCAGTGAAGCTCGCTTGGTGACGCCTTTTTGACGGTTGCTTGCCATATATATCTGTGAGCTAGCCAGCTGCAGCAGGCCAGAAAGGAGCCTTCTTCGACCAATGAAACAACTAACTCTCGTGATGGCCCGCAGCAATGGCTCTGATGCATGGAGTGAAGAGTGACCTAGGCTTGTAGCATCTTCCACGCAGTGACGACGTCGTATTTACTTCTGCAGCCACAAGGAGCATGCAGATGTCGCTGAAACCAGTGGCTTGGCTGCACGAGCTCCTCAGAGCGCTCTGCCGTTGCGTCACGGCTGGGTGTGGGGGCTCAAGCTTGAGACCAGGTTATGGAGAAGCTTGTCGAGAAGGACAGTGTGATGAGCGCCGTTTGCAGAGGGCTCAGTCTTCGATGCACGTTTGTTTTAGATGAGTTCTCCAGATTTGAATCCTGCGCATGTGAGGCCTTGCAAGCGACACGGGATTCGTCCTTCAAACCGCTGGCAATGCCGAGTACATGTCGATGCCTCGAAGTTATCATGCAGGGAGTTGAGTTTTCCCTGTTCCATGTTTGCCACATGGAAGAACAGATATTACGGGCTATGGGTTCCGGTTTTATGGCCACTTCATGCTAACCTAGCCCATCCCCTCAACTGCAGCGTGGCATGCAAAAATCATCATGGGCATGAGTGTACTACTTACTTTGAGGCCACCGCGGAAGGAATTTCTTGCCACTTTCGCCAAGGCACGCTGGGGTAATGAGATATGGTCTTCCGCAGAAAACGATCTGCCAGGGCTGTGACAAGCTGGACCCCAACGAGAGTAAGCCGGTCATTTCGATCGATGGAGAGACAAGGCCAGCGCTGTAAGCCCTTGCTACGGTCCGGCGGCATACTCACAGGCAAGGCTCGCAGAGGGACGAGTTTATGACAAACGGGATTTCTTTGATGCGGTTGAAGTGTATGGCCAGTTTATGGCCCGGCGCATCTCAGATGTAGGGTTGGGGTTTGATGTTTAGGTTTCGGCTTCTGGGTGGTCGGTCTTGGAGTGTAGAATTACCGTTGTCGGCTTTGGGGGCCAAGGGCTTGGGAATGTTCGGGTTGAGGATGCAACGGGTAAGGTCGCGATGGTCGGTGGAAAGACATTTTGGTGCGTGCATCATGTTTTGTTGAGCCTTCGCGCACCTTCTTACAATGAGCCTTCGTGTCATAGTTCATGCCCAAGTTACACCCACACCATAGGGAACGATTATGTGCGACCAGCAAAGCAGATCTGGCTCTGGCAGTTGGTGATGCAGGTATAGTGCCCCTGCCGTGTGGCCAGAACTGATGGACATCAACGGCATCATTCAGCATATCTGGGAGTTTGCCATTGGATTCCAGGAGCCAGAATACAAAGCCAGCCGGCTGTATGGCAAGAGACCCAGGGCGGACACGGCTGAGCCACGCAAGCGGTTGAGGACGAAAACCGTTGAGGGTTGTGTTGACTACCACGTTCGGCGTTTTGTTGAGGCTGATTTTCCTGCTCTCAAGGAATGGAACTTATGTGCATAGATATGACAGACGAGGATGATTTTGCCATGAACTTGGGCATCCCAGTGAAAGGCTTGATGGACGTGACTTTGAATAGGTGGGTCAAGGGTGAGCGCCTCGGTGGGATGGGTGGCCCAACCCACACGATATTAGTAGTGGAAGAGCGCGTCTCTGGCAGTGTTTGTGGCTTGGCACACATTGATTGCGCAAAAAGGCACCGCCTCCTTGGAGCACCTTGTGATTTCCAAAGCCTGGCAAGGGTGCGGGTTGGGCCACTTTGTGCTCAAAGCTGTTGAGACTTGGGCCAGGGACCACAGCCCCCATTGCGTGTTAGAGGTGGGATGCATGGCCAGGAACAGCGCAGCTCGCACATTCTATCGCCGTGAAGGCTTTGGGACGGACAAGATTCCCCAATACGGCTGGACTCCAGAATTCGCGTACAGTCACGATCCAAAGGCGCTCAAAATCGTCAGATGAACAAGCCCATCCGGCGGATCCGCCGCAAGGCCAGTCGCTTCTAGAGGGGTGGGATCGGGCAGTGAGGATGCAGCCAGGTCTCTCGACAGGCAGTTCACGGCTTGGCGGCCGGTGAAGTCCTGTGGGACACTGTGGGGAGCCGCTGGATGGGTTTACTTCAGGTTGAGCTCCGATTTGAAGTCCATCCGTTTCCGAGTTTGTTTCGGTGCCGCTGGGCAGCACGCCCTCGTCTGCCGAGTCGGTTCGCTGCGCAGCTGGAATTAAGTTTGGCTTCGGGCCTCGGCAGATGGCCATTTTCGCTCCTCCAGGCGTGGTGGAGCTGGGGGAACCTGAACTTCTTGAAAAGCAGAGCTGGGAGATTTTGTTCCTGTATGGCAAGATCCTGGATGTGCCGAGCATCGATGCGCAGGATTCGAGTTCCTTTTCACACCCGGCGTGGTCCATTTGATAGGCAGGCCAGGGTAGTTATCAAAGATCCAGGGAGACAGGGCAAAACGAGACGCGCGGCATCTTGACAGCACGTCTGGCGATCGCTTCGTATTGGTTGCCATGCACATCGAAGTCGTTAGTCTGCACGCTTTTTCGTGTCTGTCCATGGACAGCGATGGACGGCTTTACACTTGGAAGCACCTGGATCAGGTTGCCTGTGCCTGTGGAGTTCTGTGATAAATATGTCCCCAAAAGCACGATTTGCGAGAAAGGAGGGAGGCTCCTGCTTTTTCGACGGTGCTGCCGGGCCAGGAGAACTTGCGCGGCGCCGCTCCGCCGCTGGGATCGGTTCCAGGAGGCTGCGGAGGTTTTTGAGCCGGAGCTCCCTGCAATTGCGCGGGCTGCGTGCGAGGAACGTTGAGGTCCGACACCAGCTGCTCTGTGTTGGACTTCGTGGGGCGCTGGACGGGCATTGGATGGGCGTATACGGCCTGCAGATGCCTTCAAGTTGAGCTCCGAAATCCAGCCGCCTCCCTGGCCGCTGTTAACCTCGTCTTTCGTCGGCCTCACCGATGGAAGCTCGGCTTCAGACCTCGGGCACGATGCCGTGGGTTGCGGCTTTTGCCTACACTTGAGACAGGATTGTCACGAGCATCGTCTTCCGATGGCACTGGCGGTCGAGCTTGGTAAATGCAGACTTGAACAACGAAGATCTGGGAGATTCCCCCTCAGTGGTGCCGCTTGATCAGAAGAAGGTCGGACAAGAGAAAAAATCTTTGCCGCCAGATCCTGGATGAGCCAGTCTGTTGCAGTCTGCCCGTTTGCAAAAGAGGCTCCGCAGCTTTCGGCGAGGTTCCATGTCTTATGAATCGGTGCAGGGTTTGGGTGCAGTTCCGTTCTGCCACCGATGTGTCAAGTATTGATGTGCAGCAAATGTGAGTAAGTTCATCTCCACACACGACACGGAGTCAGCCTTGCACATCGGAGCCATGCGCCTGCAGCCCTTAGTTTTCTACGAAGACGGAAGCGTAGATCTAGAACATATGCGGAATCATTCAGACAGCGTCCTCCAACCGATCCAAAATCTAGATCAGTTTTGAGAATGCACACCTTTTAATGCATTCCGTTCCAAGCAAGTTGACCGTTGCGTTACACATGTCTCGAAACCTGTAAGCAGGTCGATCAAACTGAAGGAGGACGACGGCGTGATCCTAGCCGTGATTGAGAAAGTGGACTGAGAAGAGAGGAAAAAAGCAACAAGAGGGTATTTCCTAATCACTCTGTGGACACATGTGTGTGAAAGCATCGTTGCCGGAGTGTGGCAAATGGTAACATGAACAGCTGTGACTCATCGCGGCTCAAGACCAGTGTGCAGAGCGGATGGGCGGCAAAGAACAGCTAACCTTAAAGCGACTCACGTCTCTATCCTTGCTGCTGCTGCTGCTTTGTGTTGAGGCCCAGCGGCCCATTGTAAGCTTGAGTTCTCCAACCTTACTCTGTTAGGCCCACACGGCCAGAAGCCCGGCCAAATAATTCCATGGCTGGTGAGGTGTCGAGGGGGTAATTGGGGCTGGGTGGGGGCGGGTCAAGCCAGATCCCCAGGCCAAATCTTCAAGTGATGAGCAACCAGGGAGGTTAAAAAGTTGAGGAACTAGTCTGTGGTATGGGGTCCTTAGATCTAGACGCTCCAAGCCCCCGTCCCCGGCAGATACTCGGAAGTTTGTGCACCGTGTCTCGCAGTGGGGCAAGTGCAGTTCTCCAGTCAGTCGTCAGTGTTTGCGAGCCTAGCGGATACATCAATAGGGAACAATTTCAATCGAGCCTACGATCGTCATTTGTTACACCAATCCAGCGACACAAAGCTGAGCTGAGAATGTTCTGCTGGCGTCCGCGCACTGATGCACGTTCCCTGAGAGTCTGCCAAATTCGCTTCAGGCCCGCCTGCTTTGACTTTTTCGCGTCACATTGCCTGCCTCATTTGCTGGCAGGGTTTACTGTGGGCAGGCGGCAATGAAGCCAAAGATTCGGATTGCGGAGCTTACGCGGCTACAGGAGGACAGGTGATAAAGCTACCAGATAGCACGCACGATGCAGTCTGATCATTGGATGGGGAACAGTGTTGGCAGCTTGCTCCCTTCGTGCTTCGTGCGCTGCGCAGCTGCAGGAGAATACGGAGCTGCGACGGCGAGTCGAGGCATTCGTTTCAAGCACTGCTACATCGGTGATCATTAGAGAGTCCAAGAGGCTGGTGCTTCGGAAGAGCAGTGGGAAGCTTGGCTGCGAGATGCGGCTGACAAGATTCAGGCCCACTGTTTTTGGGTTCTAAAGAAATGCTCTTTGCGTGCCCTGGTATTGGCACGCAGTAGATGGCATACCGCCACATGTAATGATGTTTCCAGCGAATGCAAGACCACAGGGATGCTGGCTAGAACGCTGGTGGAAGCAGCGGCTTCTCTTTCTCAAGGGCCAGATCCTGCAGGAGGACAGTGCGTAGTTGCGCTTCACTTCTTTCTTGCGCCAGCCAAAGCAGGAATGGGGCATCCGCTCCGCAACGCAAGTTTTGCTGAAACAACAAGCGGCCCTGCGGGCTTTGCAGAGGTGACTTGACCCTGACCGATTTTAATACTTGTACCTCGTGCACCTGTTGCAGTCCTGTGAACGGCACGCGCGCTGTCAGCAGTGCTGGTGCGTGGCTTTGGGCATGATGATGTGGCGAGGCTTCCGCCAAGCCCTGCCGCTGTGAAGCTATTGGAGGTCGCTTCTGATAAGCATCAGCATCTGCAGGCAGTTGATGCCAGCTTTCAGCGTCACAAAGTACGCTAACCCTGGAGGGGTCACTCGATTTGTCTTGCAGGATTCTGTCGCCGAAGGCAATGACTTCATGGCTGCAGGGAACCCAGCTGTGAAGAGGACAGCGCCAATTCTCTGATTGATGGACCATGCAGAGAGCATCAGTCATCTCAGATGAGGGCATTCAATTGCCAATGCTCGTGCTTGAGGCCAGCCGCGATGCTGTGGCCCGTGCGCACCGCAGCAATGCTGCCCGGAAAGCGTTGGACACCCAGCAACTAGTACTCGCCTGCTTGACACTAATAGCTTCATGGCGACATCAGAATCGTACGATCATGAGGGCAGCTTTTGTGCAGGCCACTTGAGAGGCTTTATGGTAGTATGCTTGGATGCCTCAAGGTTATGCAAGAGCATCACGTCACTTCTTCAGGCACGTCAGTGCAGCAGCATGATCTTCCTGCCACGTCAATTGTCAACAGTTGTCAACTTTACGGACAGGACTCTGTCGCTGCACATGCCCGCTTGCGCGGTGCACCCAGCTGCGCAGGTATTTGAATGCTGGCAGAAGTCTGTCAAGCGCAAGCTCTTGCGTGCAGTGGGCGATGCTGCCAGATGATTTCTGGGCTAGGTGAATCAGGAGTTAGGAGTGATGTGCGGAAGTACAGTACACATCTTTCTGGATGATGAGAACAGTGTGTACGCGCGACATGCAGAAAAACGGTACAAGCACTGGAGTTGCAACAGGCTGAGGAGCAGTAGCCGACTTGAAAGTTTGGATGTTAGCGGGTGACAGAGGATTGGCGAGAAGGTTCCATCCAAGCGGTGCTATTTTACTTAGAACTCCTTGGGCAAGACCTGTCTACATTTAGCGGTCTTCATCAATCTTCAGCGACTGTGGCAGGCCACAGCGGCTTTGGCTCAGAGGGTGTCCGCAGTGAAGCCATGGCTTCGGAGCTGAGACGGAGCATGTCGGGCGTGGGGGTGGCTTGACAAATCGGTACCATGGCTGTCACTCAGACTTTCCAGGAATGTTCTTTCAGGCCAGCATGGCCAACAGCCCATGGCCGGCTTCGACGCCTGTCAGCATTGCTCAAGCTTTTTCTCACATGCATGTGGATGCAGCTTGCAATTTAAAGTGGCTGACTGCAGGATGAACATGTTCGAGCCCTACCTCACAACAATCTTATGGTTTGAGAAAGCTCCAGATCTTACGGCCATCGCAGATGCCTTTGAGAAGCATTTGTGGCCGTGCCATCGCTTCAACTCCTGCATTGATGGCAGGCAGCACCTGGGATGCAAGTGAGATGTTGCGGCATGCATGGCCGTGCTGTGTCGCGGACTTGTTCGATTGTCGAGCAGTATACGCCCGTTTGCACCGTATCTTAGGTGGGTCAGAAGGCATGAGCAGATGGACAGAGGCTTTCACTTTGTTGAAGAACACTGTGAGACCGAGTCCGCGGTCGAGGAGTTTGCCATGCGGACCCAGCTGCAGGCACTTCCGGCTGACCATCCCAGGTGGAGGTTGCTCAGCAGAGTTGCAGCATTCCTTTTAAGTCCATGACCACGTACAGCACATATTGTTTTTCATGAGTTCGTGACTGCCTCACAGATCTGCCGGCAAGTCACAGCCAGGCTGGATAGCAGCCAAGGTCCAAGCAAGTCCAGCTTTTTCCAAGCAGCTAAGGATAATCCGTGTGACCACTCCTCCTGGTCAGCCATCAGCCATTGTCATACACGCCCATCATGCCCTTGGAGACGGTTTGGGAATGTTGTTTGCAATGTCACCGATGCTGGGTGTGGAAGGCGGGAACCCGCTTTCAACAGTGCCCTTGCCCAACGCTATCCTTCCGCCGTTTGCACGGAAGCGTGGGCAGACGGGTGGCGAGACGCGCAGAACCCGCTGCAACCTCGGCGGCTGCCTGTCCACCGCCTTCAAAAACATCCGCTACTTCTTTCGCGGCTTCTTCGTCATGATGGTCACAGGTCACGACACGGAGCTAGGCATCAATGAGCAGCTCCAAAAGAGAAACCCTCTGCTTCCATTCTCAGGGAAGCGGCAACTTACCAGGTTCCCGGTGGTGCCCTTGTCACTGATCAAGAAAGCCAGGGAGAATCACAACTGCACCTTGAATGACATCGTCATGGCTGCCGTAACCGGAGCATTTCGGAAATACTGCTTGGAAGTCTGCAACGAGGAAAGGCTGCAAAGAGGAGACCAGGTAGAGTTTAAATCGATGGTAATGATTGCGCTACCCCGGGAGTGCAGCGACTTGCCAACTTTGTGTTGTGATACCAGTGGTTTTGGGATCATCCTTGTTTGAACCACTTCATTTGACAATTTGAGGTGCTTCCGAGCCCAGCATAGCCTTGCGCACCCGGCTGGCAAAAAGTGCTGCTCCGCGGTGTCGTTGAATTACTACACGTTGGCCGTGGCTTTCAGTCCAGCTGTCCGTCTCAAGCAGGAATTGTGGCTGAGGCAATAAGATGCTTTTCACCAGCGTGGAGTTGCCCTTGTCAGAGCCCTCCCAAGCTGCTCGTGTGCGCAAAACCGTAGTCGCTTGGCTTTATCAAGGTCTTATCACGGCAGGCGACCGTGGTCAGTGGCATATTATGTTTTCATGCCATAAGCATTTGCCGATGGACAGAGTCTTCTGCCCCAGGAAGGCCTCAACGGCCTGAAGTCCGCTGCGTACATGTCGGGTGTGAAGCTGTTTTCAGACTTCGTGGCAAACATTGCGCCCAGGGCCTTTCTGAGTTTTGGCCGAGCCAGATTTCCTTGCCACACATTCTCTGATGTTTCCAACGGTTTCCAGCACGAACACTCGGATGCGAGGAACAAGGCAGCGGGAGAGACTTGGTCAAAGCACACGGTGCTCGTGACGCAGCTGCACCCAGTCGATTGTTTCCAGTCCTGAATCCGTGAAGTCTGGCTCTACGTGCAACAGGTCACAAACGTTCCTTGCACGTCTGTCCCACTGACATTCCCGGAGGACGCCCAATGTCATTCCCGCAGCAAGAATAGAGGGAGGGAAGGAAGCCTGGAGAGAAAGGAGAGAGACAGAAATCACGCAGAGGGGATTCTCCTCACAAGTTTGGCTCATGGCCTATGAAAGGGTCTTGAATGTACTGGGGCGGTGCAAGGGTGCAAAAAGCAATGAGATGCTCAGGGCCAGCATCATCAGCATCCAACACAAGCATCCCTTGCAAGGGAATGGTTCTTGAAAAACCAACGTCCGGCACCTCAAAGGAAGAAGCTTGTGCAAAGATCAGGGCTAGCTTGCTTTTGATCTGGAGCATGTTCTGGTTCTATTTGGTGCTTGAACATGCTGGCCCGCAGGAAAGTGGCGAAGTGTTGCGAGGCATATCCGTCGTGCGGGCCTTTGCTTGATGCATGTTGTCCCCGAGGCATGCCAGCTAGTGCTAACAGGGTTTCCCGACAGGTCATCGCCAACGTCATGTCCCAGGTGTCCGTCGCTTGATTCAAACAAAGTCTACTGCCCTGGATTGCTGGTCTAGCCCAACAATGCAAAGGGGTATTCCACATCATGTTCAGTGCATGCCGATAACAACCCAGAAATCGTAGGCCGGCTTCAAATCGACGAAGGGATTAAACTCTCCGAGTTCACATTTTTGAGGTCGTTTCCTACAACGGCAACCTCTACGCGACGCTTGTTGCAGATCCAGACTTGATTCGCGAGGCAAACTTGCATGCAGTGGCATCATCAGCGATCGCAGGGCGAAGAATTGTAGAACGTTTGCAGGCAAAGAAACTTGGCGAATTGTGGATGTCCGAGATCAAGGAGCTGGCAGCGGAGCAGTAGGACTGCCTAGCCATCGTGGGATCCATCTGCAAGCTTGGACTAGAATGCGGCTCAGTTGCGGTTATCTTTTCTACCAACGCTTGCTGCAAGAACATGTCCACACACACAATTGCCAAAGGTCCTTCAGACTCGACGACTTCAACCGTAGCCGTAGATGCGGCACGTTCTCTGAAAACCAGCAAGCCAGTTGTCCAGATGCCAACGGCACCACACACGCTTGCTGCGAAGAGCTACGTTTTGCCCAGTTGCAGGAGGCTTGCTCTTGCTCTGAAAAACTGCTGCGAGAGCTTCACATGGCAAGCCGCAACAGAACTGAGTTCTTGTTTTAAGCGTTGCGTGGACAAAACGGACTTGTGTTTGATGGATGCTCCTTGCACCTGCCAGCAACAGCGAATAAGAATATTTGCATGGTGGCAGTCTGAACTAAGGTGGAGCAGACGAACGAACCAAGGGCATGCAGGCCAGAGCTGGTCTAATCATGTCCAATCTGTTGACTTCCATGTTTCTTCTTCCCTGGGCCTGGAACTGCAGCTAGCTGGCAGGCAAACCTGCGTGCCGAGCACCCAGAGCATGACAATTGCTTCAGCACAGCATGGATCATGAAAAGATGAGTGACACCCGCAGTCATATCATGTCATCTCAAACCAGCAAGCCCAGCGTGCATTCATGCAAGGCTCTGGCAGTTGGCGCTGCAACGCTCTTCCCAGAGTATCCTTGGCTAAAGTTTGGAAGTCCTGGATCCTCACGAATGATTTCCTGCCCGAAGTTGTCATTTGGGATGGGAATTCACAATGCAGATCCCATGTTGCGCAGCAGCGACTGACAGTCAAATGAGGGCAAGGGTCTCTTTCAATCCCGTCTTCTCCTTCCTCTGCCCCACCACCTTCCACTGCTTCCGTCCTGCGCCCCCCACGGAAAATGGTCGGAGAAATCTCAGGCTTGTAAAGTGCAATCCAGCACCAGAACATGCAAAGAGGAACTCTCACATTACTACAGTATCACATTCTGTTGTCTGCTCGAAACCTCTGATGCCTCTCTCTCTCTCTCTCCCCTTCTCGCCGCACTTGTCGCACGGCTGTGGATGCATGGAATAACATGCTTGGCGTCGACGGAAGATTCACCGTACGTACTTGAACGACTCCACCAGCAATCTTCCGCTTCTTGGAAATTTCGAGGCTGACAGACAGCAAAAAAGCATGTCTATGTCTATGTAAATCGTGTTCTTGTCTGTACACCATTGTCCTAACTCGATGCTTAGAGAGCCCCCTAATCGCAAGGAGCTCCAAGGCCAAAGACGATAGCCATTGCACTTGCTCTTCAGCTCGGACCTGCAGCGAGGACCAACCTACCCTCTCGGGAGTAGGTACAGCCCGTAGAGGAAGAAGAGTAAGAAGAAGAGAGGACTCTTTGTTTGTCTCGTGTGCCAGTATTACTGTAGGCACCCAACTGTTCATCAATCATGGTTAACCCAACCCACCTTCACAAATGACCAGAAAAAGAGACCCGTGCAGGCAGTCATGCCCAGGTGAGGGGGCAAGGCGGAGCCCATGCTCGCAAGCGAAAGCGAAAGCAAAAGAGGGAGCCCTCACCAGGATTACTGCCCCGTGAACGTGCCAGCTGTTTACACCAAGTGACCCACTGCAATTTTTGCTGAGAGCGGATAACCCTACAACAGCAACGATACTTTTTGTTCGGGCTGGTGTGAAGACTTGTTGTAAGCCTCCTGCGGTGGGATCGTTCTGATTGCTTATCCACGAACAGCATCTGCGCTACTGGCGCCAAATGCTATGCCTGAAATCAGATGGAAAACGAGCTTTCCCAGGTGAGGGTAGATGAGCCAATCGACTGGGACTGAGGAGAGTCAGGGTTCCTTAAGGTACTCTTTTACCGTACGTCCTGCTCACTTTTCTGTCCTCTACTCTTACAAAGTCTCACGTAATCTGACTCCGAACCGCAGCCATGGGGAGGCGCCTCACCTGGAACGTGGGGGGATGAGTATCACGGATGTGCATGATTTCTTCGAACAGGATGACAGCTTCGAGCCCAACTGCAACCGGTCCCGAATGGACAAATGGTCAATACCGAACCCCAGTTTGGTAGAAGGAATCATGTATCGCATATCGTTTCCTCACTAAAGCTTCATGACTACCAAGCATGGGGAGATGCACCGAGTGCAGGTAGAGGAGAAACATCTCGAATCCTGATGTACTTGAGAAGACTTGTCTGTGGTCGTAGACAGCCGACCGCTGAAATGCATCTGTTCCTATTGCTGTCTTTTACAGCACCTTAGAGCGGCGATGTAAGGCATTCACTACCTTGCTGACTCGGACGGGTGAAAACCTTCCCTCCAATCTTTCTGGCAAATCCAAACTGCCATGTCAGTCTGTCGGATCACGAAGTACCACCAGGTGCTTTTCCAATAGGAGGGCATGCGCCCACCGACGCCCACCTTGGCAAAGCGTTAACCCCTGTATCCAACTGATCTAAATTCCATGAAACAGAGACCAACAACAGCAGAGCTCGAGCTGCAGTCAGACTTCTGGGGCTGTTCCTTTGGCATGGTAGCGGTCGGCAAGACTTAGGCAGGCGTCGATGCACTTGCAGGCCGTGACTTTTGCAGCTTAGTTTGGGAGCGCGTAGACATCACCCTGCAAATGCATCATTGAGAATGTGCGTGTGACCAGTTCTCATTCCCATTAGCGTGATTGTGGGAATTCTTGCTATTCGCAGGCTCTTCCAGGCATGGACGAAATGGCGGCCAAGCTGAAGGCATGCTGAAAACACCTATGCTGAAGGCTGCCATATTTTTATTGATTGGCTGCGCAGAATTTGCAAGTCTGTTGGCTTGTAGTTTGCTGTAGTGTAGACATCAATAGAGTGTGTCAGGACTTGGAATCTCGATTGCAAAGTCGAATGGCGCGCCAGACAGTCCCACAGCTGCACCTAAGTATGTGGGTCAGGATGACAGTTTTGGCTGAGCATGAAGCAGAGGTTCCACCTGCAGTTGTTTAGTCCTGTCAGCACACTGGGCCTGGTGCATTCTGCGTGACTTTTTCGTCTTGCTTCCCATATCGTGTCACCAGAACTCAGCGTGGACAGCACGAGCTTTTTGTGCCAGTCTGTTGTGAAGCATGGCATGCTTTGCGCACATGTATCCTTATCGGCCAAGCGACTCCTGATTTGTTCAAGGTTCGTGCCGGCATGATGAGCTTGCCTCAGAGACATGATACCATTCGGCTCATGGCTTCTTTGGGGATTGAGGATTTTCAATTTCCAAGCGTGACGTGGCCAATATTTGCTAGATGGCTTGGTCAATTCAGATCGCAATGTCAGGAGGCATGGTCCTCGTGCTAGTGAACGAGCAGATGTCTTACAAGTGTAGGCCTGCAGTAGATAGATGTAGCAGCCGGCCTATCGTAAGCGTCTGATGTCGTGGTGAGCCTGCAATTGGTCATCCGTCGCATCTGTCACGAAGCATAAGCAGAGTCATAAGGAGCCGTTAGGATGAGTAGCGAACACCAACATTGAGTGGGGCCAATCTGCTTTGCTTGCGCTGCAACTGTGTAGATTGCTCACTGCTGCTGTGCTGTTTGCTACAAGGCATCTGCGACTACAAGCCGCTGTTTGGAATCTGGAGTGTGAGCCTTAATATCAGGATCAAGCTTCAGCAATCATGTTGAACAAGCTGTGGATCTGATTAGCATCTCACTGCTGAAGGGTGGGAATATGCAGACATGAGCAAGTTGTGTTACAACAAGAAGTCAGATGTTGCGAAGGCTTCAGCTGCTCAACGCAGAAAGCGGGGAAAGTCGCAACAACTCTGAGATTCCTCTGGGTACCTGAGACCTTGGCTGTTTTTCCACCAGTCCGTTGCTGGCTCGCTGGACCTTCGGCTCTTCAAGCTCCGAAAGCTGGTGATGACAATTTGGTCCCGCTCTTGGGGTCCATCTCCAAACGAATCTACGCACAGCCGTATTCTGCCGTCAGTGCGGCAGTGCGCCGAAGAGTAGCTGCCCTTCCCTGCCATCATGGATATTCAGACGATCGACTGTGACCGACAACTTGTTTGGTGCTCGCTCAAGTCAGCAAGCTTTCGCAGCTAGTGTACGACAGGGATGGGATGATGAACCGCTTATCGCTCCTTTTCATCACGAAATCCGAACCTCCTTGCCGGCTAGTGGAAGAGTGCTACAACGCAGTAGCTTGCCCACAAAGCGTTTCAGTAAATTTGGCATTCGAACGTGTGTTGCAAGTGATGGTGGGCAAGTCAGGGGCATCTTCAACGAACAATTCCGCAAACTTTGCGGGATAGTTGTATTGTGAGACGATTCCTTGCTGTGCGCTGTCTGTTGCGGCTACATTGCGTTTGGGCGTGGCATTGGATGCCAAGTCGCTGTAGATCTCCTGCCGCAAGCTGACTGCGGAACTTTCATGGAGCTAAGGTGAAAACGAGTTGAGTAGGGTTGCTGCAGTCCTGGACTGTTTTCTCATTCGGAGATATGACATGACCAGAATCCAGTGAGTAATAAGCATGATTTCGATTTTGTGCGTATGTATTTGTAAATGCAGTTGGACTACCCTTAATTCGCTTCGCGGCCAGCTGCAGCTGCAGAGTGCCGTAGGTTTGGGTCTAGAATTTGCTAGCCGTGGCTTGCCCCGGTTTCCCATGGCTTCTGTGATTCTGGTTCTAGACTAGATCTCAGGCAAGCAACAGGTTCAGGGACATGTTAACGCAGGTCCCAGAAACCACAAGAGGCCAAATCGTGCTACAGAATTGGAAAGATGCGGAATGCCAGCATGACAGGTTCAGGAAGAGGAGAGGACCAGAATCCATTTTGCCGATCAGGTCATTTAAGCCCTACACTGTGAACCCTAAAGCATTCAGCTTTGTTTCAACCTCTGCGACGCTGAGCTAGCCTTACAAACTTTAAGCACAGCCACGAAGGAAAAGATGCAAGGGCCCACCACGTCCAAGCAATCTCTTGCAAGTGATGCCAGTG